ATCCATCCATCCATCCATCATCCATCCATCCATCCATCCATCCATCCCTTATCCATCCCTCCATCCATCCATCCATCCCTTATCCATCCATCCATCCATCCCTCCCTCCCTCCCTCCATCCATCCATCCATCCATCCATCCATCCATCCATCCATCCATCCATGCCTCCATCATCCATCTCTAAGCCAAAGAAACTCTCCCCTGTATCTGGGCATGTGAGGTTCTACTTTGCCTGGAGTGTTCTCCCCATCCTGGTGATCTGAGGCTCCTGGAACACGTCTGATGTCCATTGAACATTGACCAGGAGCAACAAGATCATCAATGATCTAGCTCAGAAACATTTAATCTAATTAACAAAAATAATAAATTAGCTCTAGAGCAAACTCCATTATAATGCTGGACATTTTTTCCCTCTCAAAACTGGTATATTTGCCAAGTAAAAATTTTCAGCAAATGTTTTTTATGTGGTGGGTAGAATTTTAAAAATATTACAAAATGAAAATGCTTTTTCAGAGTTATGACAGCTGCATGTGAAGTAAGCTCTCAGTATTATAAAGTGATCACAAAATTTTCTGTTCTGGATATAAAAAACCACCTACCAATCTTTGCTACAACATGCAGATATTTTTACTCAAAGTTATTTTCCACAGAAAAACTGTTAAGTTGGCAGATTGACTGCTAAAGCAAATCATTTCCATTCCAATCAAGTTACACAGGACTTGAGAAAAGGACTTGTGTGAACTCAATATGAGCCATTTTATGCAACATCTTTGTTTGAACTGGGTCCCAAATAAGCAAGATAACCTTTACTTGCTTGTTACTAAGAGATAAAGGCATGTAAGTGTCTTTCAACAAAATGAGAACAAAACCTCAGATTCCCAAGAACTTCATAATATTGAAGAGGATGGAGTTTTCCATTATTTGTAAGAGAATATATGGGAATATGGATATGCCAGTACTCCATCTTTACCTCTGACATCACTCCTATACATTGTGAGCTGCAAATTTGGCACGTGACCTTTCACTAAACCCACAGGAGAATTCTCCATTCCTGAGAAGTTAAAAAAAAAACCAACCTGGAAGCTAAAAGCAGAAAATACATTTTTTAAAAGTGAATTCTACAATAAGTGCAGCAAGAAACTAAAACCATTATTGTCTGCAGCCATAATTAACATGAGATACATTTCAACAGCAGCTGTCAAGCTCAAGTTGACAGCAGATTTAGTCAATCTGGTTACGTATGATTTCTTGATCGTGGCTGTAACTGAGAAGGTTCCTGTGCACCTGTCAATAGTTACAAAGTTTTTATGCCAGAACTTACAGCAAGTGGAGCTCTGACAACTCTGGGTACCACTATAATTTAGCATTCTGGTGTTAAGCAGGTATTTGAGTTTCACTAAAGATGTTCCCCTGTTCTTGTACAGTCACAACTCTCACTTGCATGACAAACCTTTCTAGAAGTGAGTGGGTATATGTATAACATCTTGGGTGTGATATTCTGCAATGTAAGAGATAAGTGATGCATTTTGACTTTTTACATAAACTATTAATAAATGCAAGGAGGAAAACATTTTACTGCATTAAATATGTCCCCCAAGCTGCTGTAACTGGGCATTTCTAGAGTTTGATAACCTATAACCACTGTTTTATTTGCTTATTGAAGGAAGGAGTCTTAAATCTGAAGGTTCTCTTAACAAAGCCTGATTTGGGAAAAGAGGCCTGAAACAGCCTGATAATAAACTTATTTAGTCTGACTTGAAAAACTCTATGGAAATCAACATCTGACCTCTACAGTTTCTAAAAATAGTAATCTTTTTTCAACTGAGGAAGCTTCCTCCATTTAAAATCTTGCTTACCTGATGGAAACCACTCTTTAATATTTCATATCTTTGCTGCACATAGCCAAGGAGTGGATAAAGAGTGGAAAGTCAATCCTGTGCTTTCAGCCTTGGAGAGCTGCAGCATTTTTTATTCATCAATTCAATTGCCTGACTTGATGTTCAAAGAACTTTTTCCCAGCTGCCACACTAAGTAGCCAGTGGGCAAACACTGAAAGGTCAACAGTTGCTTCTCTAATTCCATGCTATGAACACTTCCCAAGGGGAGCTGGGTGTGTTTGCAGAACTGACCTTCAGCCAGCACGGCTTCCAGAGGCACAGGAGGAATGTGACCAAAGTGGGTGAGCTGGCGTTTATTTTGTCTGTCTGTGGCACCACATTTCAGTGGCTGCCTGCCCCTCTATCAGAGTGCTAAATTTTGTTTAGGGGAGACAAAATATTATTGAAATGAAAAAGTGCTATCATATATTTTTACTGAAGGCCAAAAAATATTGTGGATTTAATTTTTGGCGAGATCTCTAATTTGTTTTCAAAAGAAATTCTGATCATCATCCAAAACTAAGACAGATCCTAGCTATCAGTTTCCAAGATTTATTGCTTTCTTCGTGTAATTGCTAGAAAATGATTAGCAAGATACACATGGCAATACAAACAACACAGTCTGTATTTGCTTCATTCTGATTGGCACCACAACCAGCATCAAATATCCAGGTCCTGCAAATACTGAAGTTGAGAACTGAGCTGAGCTGCCTTTAGTGCAATAGTTCAGATCTGGCAAACATGAGATGTTTCTAGAATGCTGCAATTACACCTGTAGAGAAACACAAAAGCAGCAGCACGCTACTACTGAAAACCACTAAAATAAAAAGGCAAATATAACTGAAGTGGAAAGGGCACAGCAGTAAAAAGTTAAATGCCTGATAATAATTTATAAAACTTGACAATAACAGTGCAGCTAAAAAAATTACGACCTTTGTTCTCCCACAGCCACTTTTTCCAAAGAGTCAAAATAAAAAATTGCTTTTGAAAAACTGAGAAACTGAAACCACGAGACTATTTTTTATAACAAAGACACGGTACTGCACTTACCCACTGGACTGGTACCAGCTCCATTTGGCACTGAGAGATCAGTTGTCCCCAGCATTCCACCTAATCAAAATAAGCCAGAGCATTAAACTGACTTGCCCCATTACAGTACCGTGGAATTCTGTACGTCAAAACTGGAGCTGTGCAAATGCACTGGCAGCACTGGGAGCCTGTTACTGAGGAGGGCTCCTGGCAGGGGATGGAAGCAGGGGCAGGGGCAGGGGCAGGGGCAGGGGATGGAAGGAGGGGCAGGGGCAGCCTCACCTGCGTTGCCGGCGCTGGGCGGTCTCTGCGGCGCCCCGGGGGACACGTTGCGGTGCAGGGTGCTCTGGGGCGGGGACAGCATGGTGGTGTCCGTCAGAGAGGAGCTGGCAGCCAGGGATGGGGACACCAGGGAGCTCCCGGGGTTGCTGTAGGTTAAAGTGTTGGGATTGGACACCGGAACCGTCACCGACATGGAGAAGTTCTGGGCGGGCAGGCCGGGCTGCGGGAGAGAGGACGAGGAACAAGGAGACAGCGCCGTTAGCATGAACTGTGTCTGCAGAAACAGCGCATCAGAAAAATTCTGTCATGGCAGTTTGTTGGTTTTTATTAAAGTTAATTCTGTTAGTTTTTAAAGTCTATTAAGCGCACAGTTTTAAAACGTCCATTTGTTGTAAAGTATGGTGTTAAATTCTTATACATGACATAATTTACAGTGCCAAAGAATTACTCCAACTTCTCAAATATGTAAAGTTCAAACAGAAAATACTAAAAGTATTCACATGAATTCACAAGCTTATAAATACAATAAATCTAACAGTTAATTTGGATTATTATAAAACAATGACAAGCTAAACATGTCTACAAATCAATGAACTGTTGTACCTTCAAAATGTAAGCATAAACATGCACATTACAAACAATTATCACACAAAAAAGAACAAGTTAGTAAATAACATTTTCTAGTAATAACTTTGCCAATATATTACTACTAATCTCTCACACTTTGTTTAAAAAAATAAACAGATCTTTAGAAAATCACAAAGTTCAATAATTTGAATTTAAACATTTCAGGCTCCCCAAACCCCTGCTTTAATAACCATTCCATCTTTTTTGCAAATCTAATATTTTTTATTCTAGTTTTTACAGCATTATTTAAAAGGCAACTGTTTTTCTGCAGTATATATGTTTGTTATTCAACAGCTATTGAATCAAAAGCTGAGCTGCCTGCCCATCTATGGTACTCATTTGGTCATGACTAACTTCTTTGGCCTTTGTCTCATTCCTATCCTTTGACAGTGATGGGTTTCTGAAACAAAAGGGACTATTTTTTTTCACAACTCTCATAATTACTGGAAACAAAACCATGACAGGTACAATTTAAGGACAAAACCCCAGTAGTATTTATTGACAGAATAGAGAGAGGTGATGGCTGTGATTAAGGGGTCAAAGGCAAATGACCAACACACATGACCTAGCAAGGACACTTTAAAAAATGCAATTTCATCATCTGTAGCTTAAAAATCACTTAGAATGATACTTCTGCATGAAAAGTTAGATAATACAAGAAATATAACAATAACTATACTAATTCAGAGAGCAGAATATATTCTCTACAAGAAACAAAACCTCTTACTAGTGAGAGCCAACAACAATGTCCCTACTGAAGCATTCTAAGAATAATCATCAATTTTTGGCACAGATGGAAGGAAAAATTAATGAAGCAGAACAACACAAAGCTAGCAAATCATTCACAGTATCTAACCAATGACAAGCCCTGCTGGTGCTTGTTTTCAGGGGAAACTACTGAGTATCTACCAAACCCAGGGTGTTTTTACACAGCACACTGTCAAGCAGCTCAAACTAAACTGGAAATACCTGAAGTATGCTGAACACACTGCTAGGAGGGAACAGCTGGAACATTTTTTCTGTAGGTTTCTCAATAGAAACCTATTCAACAGATCCAATAAGTGACAGCCTCCCCCCACACCTTACAATGAAGGCTGTCTGCCCATCTATGGTGTTCATTTGGTTACGACCGAATTCTTCACGCTTTGCCTCATTCCTATCCTTTGACAGCAATGAGTGCTCGAGAACAAGAGAAACTGTGTTCTTATAGAGCCCCACAAGTGCTGGAAACAAACACATAATTGGTCAGATTTGAGTTACAAATCAGAGCTGTAGAGCTAAAAGATAATGTTGCCCTTTCTATTTCCACTGATGTCCACACAGACATTTGGGCTTGTCCCCAAAAACCCATTTAGCTGTAACATACTGAGAGATGAGGCCCAAAGATGTCTCAACACGGAAATGTCAGATATGAGAATCTTCAAAACAAAGAAAACCCAAAATATATTGGCTTTATATTTATTCATCACGTAACAGAAGTGATGCTGGGTGTCACGACTGTCAGTTTGCTGTTCAGTCCCCAGAGATCTCTGGGGCTCTGAATGATGAAATGATTTCCAGTATCAGCAGTCATTTGGAGACACTACTCAAGTGCCCCAGGGTCTGTGCAGATTAACCCACCCAGTTCATCTCCTTTAACTGCTACAAGATTTGCATTCTTAAAATATTCAAAGGCTGTGCCAGAGCCCTGTATTATTTTGCTTAGAAAATACTTAGTAATACTCAACACTAACTGATTTTTGTAGGTGGAAATTAAATGTCACTGTGAACACCTCCACAAAAAACATGCAACATTTCCACTCCTTTTATCCCCAAACTGAAGTTCTGGAGCCAAGTGACTTATGGCTGCACACTGGGTTGGCACTTGGCAGAAAATTTTTAAATATCCTTCAGTGTTCAAGGAAATATCCATTGGAATTTCAGAGGAGCAATCTTTTGAGGCTCTCATTCTGCAGCAGCCTTGATTTTAAATATCTAAATAACTTTCTACATCCAGACTTGAGCAAAATAAATTCTACTAGTTAGATGACAAAATGAATCCAATTCTATGTGCCTGCTTGTCACGTACTGCAAAATCTTGATCACCAGACAGATGAAGACCTACAAGATGTAAATAAATGATCCTACACCCCACAACAAAAACCTATCTTGGTAAATATATTTTAGGTAGGATTAGGTAACGCAGTAGGCTCCTAAAATTTTGAAATGTTGTCTTGTGTTCCAAAGGTATGAAAAACTGGGAGTGCAAAACCCAAGCTAGAGATGATTCTTCTTATTCTTTACAATAAAATGTATTTTAACAAGACCAGGTATCACAACCTCATTTTTCCTCAGAAGTCCTTTTCCCTTCTCAAGCCATTAAATCCTCTTGTCTTTGAAGTGGTTTTCAGTGGTAAGCAAACACCATGAAAATTCTCATGCATGTAAGAGAAGCACAAACCATACTTTAGTACTCACTGCGATTTTATGATTCCGCATCATATTATCAAACTCTTCATTAATTTTTTTATATTTTTCTTCTGTATGTGGCGTGAGCACATATGAAGTGTCAGGGTCCGGGCTGTCGCACCCTCTGTGTTCCTTCTTGTTCAGAGCCTAAATAATGAAGTTAATAAAAAGGATCAACAAATAAAAAGTAGAGATAAAATAAAAGTACTTACAGGGCCTCGCTTGAAAATAAAATCACTATCTTCATTTAGTTTGCTGAATCTGTCCTCCGATAGTGGACTGTGCTCAAAGTAATCGTCAGCATCAGGGCTCTCACAACCATTAAGGCCTTTCTTTCTTAAGGTCTGAAATACAATTGGAAAATTCACATACAAATCATACTAACTTGCCAAGAAGTTTTGTACACTACTGAATCATTCAGAGCCCCTGAAACTACATTAAAATTTCACAGACAAAACTCACTGTGCAACAGACAGAATCAGTCTTTCAAGATAGTGGCAAAGTACACAAAAAGAAAAGGTTCACCCAGGTTCCATCTCGCAGGTAACTTCCCCCTACAACCACTTCATCTCCCAGCACTGCAAGCAAAATCATTTTTGGACACTGGCTGATGGAGAGAAGTTGCCTGACAAGGAGCATTCATGCTTGTGGCAAAGGAGTTCACGTATTCACTGGTAATTAAAAGCCAGTTTACTGGATCTTTAATGAATTGATTTTAGCATCCCAATTTTAATATTCACATTTTAAAGAGCATACAGTTATATTGTGACAAACACAGTGGCTAAAACTCTGATTCAGTTAACTAACTACAGGACATTAATATCTGTAACATTCGGTCTCGAAACTTGACAAAGACAGGATCTTCCTGTCATCCTGCACGATAACAAGAACCGCAAAAAAGAAATTACATAATGCCTCTCTAAAATGACTTAGTTTGCTAAATATAAGTTTTTTCAGAGTCCTTCAGACTAACTTTATGGAGCTACTTCCTGTTTTCTGATGGAGAACTCACATCAACATCCCCTGGAAAAAAAAAAAAGCAAGCTTGTCTACAATCCAGCCATTAAAGAAAGGATGTGAAACTACAGGTCTCGTGACCAAATTACAAGATATATTTGTATTTCTTGTTTTTCTTTTATACCCTATTACACAATCAGAAATTTTTCTCTGCAAGCTCTAATTTGTAACAAAACAGTATTTAAAGCACTACCTGTAAAAAAAAATCTTTTTTTTTTTTTTAATGTTTCAAAAGTAAAGCAATAAAAATTTTAAACAGATACATGTTATTCGTACATAAAGCAGCAGTAGGACCGTACAGGGATGAGGGAGTTGCATACTTTCTTTCTGTCAGAAATTTTCTATATTCCATGAATTTTACATTAAAACCCCTAAAGATCAGAAATCTGCAAACTGCCGTTTCCAGTGCCATAAAAAACCCCCGTGTTTTCCTATAGAAGCAATTTCCATTACGCACTGAAATTCTGATTTACAAAACATTTTAGCTCATAGTATTCACCAGCATTTTTTTACTGTCAACTGATTTTTTAGTACAATAAAAAATACATACTACTTCCTTGCTATTCATATATATGCAAAATCCTGCTTATTTCTACCGCAGTTTGAAAGCAGGAATTGAAAATCCAATTCGCTGCCTTAAATTCTTTAATATCACAGTTCACCATAAGCTGCAATTCCTTCTCAAGTTTCCTGGCTTGCTCCACGTATCCCACACAGTATCTGGAACTCCCACAAAAATGTAATCACTAAATCAGCATATGGGGAAAACAGGTGTAGGCTCCTCCAGCACCTGTCACAGCTCCGATGCCGCTCCTCCAACCAATAGCCGGACACGCAAATGGACTTGGCCATACAAGGGCCGGCTGCTCGGCCTCTCAAGGTCGGAGCCTGTTATCCCTCTCACAGCCCTTCCTAACAAGTCAGCCTGCCAGTCTGCTACACTTTGATATCAGCAGGGAAAATGTTAACGCTGGGTAATCTGGATTACGCTTAACCCCTGCAGCCCACGGCGCTCTGCAAATAGAACCCAAATGTCTTTAGGCGCGTTGGGTGTCAGCGCGCGGTGCCCGGCACACGATGACGGAGCTGCACGGAGGCTCTGCAAAGAAAGGGCTGCAAGACATGCACAGAGTGCAGCTCCTGTGACAAACACACTGAGGCAACTGAAGTCTTGCAGCGAGGAGCTTCAGCAGAGCTCCTTTCGATAGTCTAAAGCAATCCAGTGAAAGCTTTTAAATGTAATGCTGCCAGCTCATTCTCCCCCAAATGGTAAATTATCCTCCTCCGATTATAACAAAAAGGAAGAGATTTAAACGTAAAAATGCCTCCTTCCTCTCGGTGACTGTGTGTCATTTTTGCTAACAATGGGGTTAACTCTGCTTTGACTCCTGAGGAAGGAAAATGCCTCAGTATCTCCCGTTTCAGGCTCTGGAAACCGTCACTCCAGATGGGGTTCCTGTCATTGTGGAGGGATTTAAGCCACAGTTCCCTGTCACAGATAATAAGGCTGGGTCCAACAGCCAGAGCTCTGCCTCCTTATCACCAAAACACCAAGTGCCACTTGGAGGACCTGACCATAAAAAGCCTGCGAACTTTTATCAGCGCCCAGTAACACAATAGTAAAACATTCCTGCTCGGTGGCCAGGGCTGCGCACGGAATGCCGCGAGCTGTTGGCACGGGCAGG